CATGTTCTGCTCCCCACAATGTCTCTAGTGAAGCCTCTTACCACCCCTGTACTTCTGGCCTGTACCCCAGTACTGTATGCTTAAATAAATAAATCTTAAAAACATAAATTAATTAAAAATAAAAATATCCCCATGTGGGTTTTTGCAATTTGTAAAGTTGTGTAAGAAAAGTCTTCCCATATTTACTACTTACTTGTATGTTTTGGTGATTCCCATAGAGTGGAAAATGTTTTCAGAACGTATATGTCTTTAAATAGGGAAGATGACATGAGGAAAAAAAAAAAAAAACAACTCTGGAGAAGGGTAATGCAATTTACTTAGTGAGAATTTTATTAAGTCACTGAAAGATAGGAAAACATTCTCACTCCTCCATTATGGTACAGAGTGAAATTTTCCCCCACAATACACGTTAGGCACAGACATTTGGAAGAAAAATGCTAACGCTACCTTTTGTCTAATGATTGCATAAAGGTCCTCCAAATATACAGGACAGTCACTGTCATACTGCTTTTTGTAGAGCAGAAATCAGTTTAAGGCAGGCTAATTCTGGACTTTATCCTGGGGTGTGAAGTTTCTGAGGCGCCGAAAGGAGCTACCTTTTCTAGCCACGGCAGCTTCAGGGTGCCTGTTGGGGAGTGACTGGCTCTAACTGCTGGGTTTGCTCTGGATGGTCCTCAAAGTGGCCTCACATACCATGAGCACAGCACCATGCCCAGGACTCTGTGGCTGGGTGATTTTAAGGGGGTGGACATAGGAGGCATCAGTCAAGGGAACACTTCATTTTTCCTAAGTCATGATACACTTAGAAGACGTTCAAGTGTGTAGAACTGCACAGAAGTCTTATACTGAGGTCTGCCTAAAAACTAAGTTAACCAGAAGGTACATGTTTATGTGTGTGTGTTACCTACTGTGTTAAAATGTGGCACAAGCAAGTTGTGTTTGAATTAAAATTTAAGCAAGATAAAAATATATTTAAATGAAACAAAGGACTGTTGGACACCCATGGAACCTCTTGATAGCCTGTGTAGAACCTGAACTGCACAGGACATAGTTTCATAACCCCTGAGGTCTTGGAGTCCATGGTAGACCAGCAGGGGGAAGGACATGGTGGTGGACAGTGAGAGCCAGAATAAACAATTAGGATTCTCCAGGTCTTTTACAATCATTTGGTGCATTGACATTGAACCCGGTCACAAATTACCTGTCTGTGTCTCAGTTTTCCTTGCTCAAAATGAGATGGTTAATAACAAGCTCTCCAATGCCAAATGCATTGGCAACAGCGTTGCCCTGCATGCGGTATAGTTCAGTGTAAGTAATGATAAAGATTTTTGCATGAGAAGCAAAAATCTTTAGTTTTTTCCCTCCCTGAGCTCCTTTCATAGTACTTCATGATTATCAGAGTCATCAGCAGGCTCCGGTGGTGTCCCAGGCTAGTTCTGAGACTCTTCCTGTCATTCCTGTGTGCACAATCATCCAAAACTGCCGCTGAGCAGTCGATCTCCATTTCACTCTTACTTTGACAGACAAAAAATGAGCCATACCATACACTGCATTTGACATGGGGAGTACTTAGAAATGTCGTTTTTAAAACAACTAAATATAATTTTAGTCTTGTCATTCTGTTGAGTAAACATATATACTTGAAACATTTCTGCCACAGACATTATATAACTGCGTGAGTCATGACTCTTACACATCACTTATCTGCAATGGAAAGAACCTCCCTGTAACATGCTCTCTTTGGTTCCACAATGGAGCGTTTCAAACAGGTCACGGAAGTTGATTTTCATAGTTTCAGAGAAACTCTACTGATCAAAGTAACCCACATCAGATGCTACGTACAACAGGCCCCACTTCTCTTCACACTCCCAGATCTTTTTCACACCACAAATGACTTCACACCCAAAGGAATGGACATTCTAGTCTACATGTTCGCACTGCCCATAAATTCACCTGCAAATTGCTGCCCCTTAAGCTTGAGTGAACACACACTGGCACAGTCTGCCATTAGGTGAAAGACTCCAGAGAGACCATGTAGTTCCAGAGTTTCAATGTTCCCGAGTGTGGTACAAGGGAGGGTGGCAGGGGTCTCAGACTCTAGACGACATGTCTCCTTGGCATCTGGATAGCATAACCCATGAAGGGAGGCATGGCTGGAAAACAGCCAGTACAAGCTTCGTTGAGACATTAGACCCAGGCCAAGGCCCCACGGTAACCATTCATAATGTAGTTCTATAACTTCTAAATAAGTTAAGTGTAAACAACTCAATACTGTGTATAGTACATGTATCGAGCAGCAAGAACCAATATTCGCCAAAGAAACCTTGGTGTCATAGAGAGGGCACAGTCAGGCAGTGAACCCTCCATTATCAGATGAAGAGAAGCTAAGTCATCTGGCTCTAAGCTGTACACTTACAATGACAACTGTAGTCCAGATTTACAAAGGTTGCTCTACATTAATTTCTAGCCCCAAAGTCAACTCCTTCAAGGAGCTTGAAGCCTGATAAAGTCCTGAATTACTATACAAAACAGAAAGCATCTAGAAAAACTGAGGAGGGAAGAGGGACTCATTTCTGTTGGATGTACCAGAAGAGGCCATTTGAGTCAGACTTTTAGAAGATAGGTATTAACATTTATTACTTTTATATATTAGTATTTTACCTGGCTATAAGATGTTAGATTTGAACCAGGGAGCTGGTAATTCTTTTAACATTCCACAAATGAACTTGATTCCCAGTTCCTGTATGATATAATCCATTAAAAAATGTGTATTTCCAGGAAGTGGAGTATATTCTTTCCCTCTTCAAGAAATACTAAAAATAAATATCATTTTACTCCAAAAATAACGCCAAGGGTTTATATGTTACCATGTGTATGCAACTCATTCATTATATGAAATGAAATTTTTCCTTTAAATAAAAAATTTAATACAATACCCTGTAGGAATCATATCCTCTATTACTAACATCAAATTCCAACTATTACTCTTTCAAATCAAATGTGATTTTTTTTCTAGTCTTTTCAATTGGCTAATTTTTAAATTCTTTGTCACCAAAAGAAAGACTGACTATGAAATACAAATTAAATATCAAAGACCAGGCATTTATGATTGCCTCTCCCCTTTTCTCTATGAAATAATTTGTCCACATTTTCCTGTCTGAACATATCAACTTTCAGCAAGACTGGAATGTTAATTGATGTTATGCATAAGCTGGGCTATCATTCCTCAAATTTAGTAAGCCAAAAAAAAAAAAAAATCAAAACCAAGTGGATTTCCTGTTTTTATTTATGTTTTTTAGTGTCCACTTGGGGAATCAAAATAAAAAGTCACAGTTTCAGTTCATCCTTCCTTCAATTAACATACCCAAGGAGACCAGTTCCGCCTATTTTTACAACCCTGATAATGTTGGAATCACAAAGCTATTCAAGCTTCTCTGGGGAGCTCCAAAATAGTATGTGCAGCAACTTCCAAGGGAAGCCTCAAACTATCCTTACCCTCCCCCACCTCCCCAGGGAAACACAGAGACTCAACTCTTTCTTATCTGAGTATATAAGAATATAAGACTTCTCCCAACTCAGCCCAAAGCTGAGGCATGTCCTTTGAACATTTGTACCGTTTTCTCAAAAGAGGTGGTATACTGCTGAATAAGGAGAAAACGAGTAGAATCCATCTTTCAACAATGGTGACATATACAAAGAAACCTTTCCTAAAAATTCTGAGGCCTTTAGTAAAGTAAACAAAGGGAGGAAAGTAAGTGATCTTACATGTACAGGTTGTAGAGTCCATATTTCCAAAGTGGAAGTGAGGAAGGGAAGCAGAACACTTCTACAAATTGGATTTTTGCTAAGGTGTGGTATCTCAGGGAATTTTCTAGTTATCAGCTAAGGTAGTAGTGGAATAACAATTCTTTGTGTGCACAGTATCAGTCTCCCTTCAGCCACTCCAAGCCCCCAAATCATTATGATAACCAAAGATGCTGCCATACATTTCTTAACACCTCCTCCCCCATTTGTTCTCTCTGCCTGAGAACAACTCTGAGGCTAAAGATGGACAATATATGAAAGATGATGTATTGATCCAAAAGGATTTCTTTTAAGGCTTATTACAAAGCACTGAAGGCGATTTCTAGAGGCTGCATTGAACCAACAGCATTTTCCACATCAAACTTCTGCTTCAAATAAGTAACACAGCAACAAGAAGTTCCTTGACTTTTAGCATCTATGCACGAACCTCTCTATGAGAGAAGGGTATTAATGCCTACTTCCAAATGCCTCTCTTTATATTTTAGGTGCAAAACTTCATAAAAATCCATCTTAGAAACAATGATTATAAGCAGACCTAGAAACTAACTGAAGTCAATGGTTATTATGGTTTTTTGTTTGAGTGAGACAAAGAACAGGATATCATAACTGTCATTCTTTGCCAAAACAGTGCTCTTGGGTTTACTCTGTCTATTTTGGCTTGGATGAAGATTCACCTGGCAGGTGGTGCTACTTGTTCACGGGTCATCCAAGTTCACTGTAAATTTAATTTCTTCTTCACAGTCAGCACCACATATTCAGAGGACTACTTTCTCACACCTGTGCAGGCATCCTGGCTGTTTCTCAAAGCAGGATGTTGCAGACAGGTCAATAATCCTGGTGTTCTCTCTTCCCTGACCTTAAGCTGTGTTTCCTCACACATTATTTATGCAGCTCTTAAAACAGTCATGGCAAAGAGCATTTGGAAACTTGCAACTGATTCCTTTCTAGTGGCTAAGATGCAACAGGCTATTTCTGCAATGGGTCCTGTCCACAGAAGCTAGCCGGATGTGTCTGTAGTTCTAAGCCAAATGTTTTCCTCCTCCTACCCCTGCTATACAAAAAAAAAAAAATTACAAAGACATTCTATCCACCAACTGATCACGAGCAGTAATAACACTAGGGACCTTCAAGGGAGGTAGTCAGTTGCATGAAAGAGAAGCATAAGTTTAAAGAAAGAACAGCTGTCTCTCACTCACCACTGAGGTAAGAGCCATCTGAAAACTGTAGATTCGGGCAAGGCCAAAGTCAGCCAGTTTTATTTGTCCACTGCTGGTCACCAGAATATTCTGTGGTTTTAGATCACGATGTACTACTCGATGAGAATGAAGAAAGTCCAGACCTCGGAGAAGCTGAAACATCATATCCTAAATAAAATCAAAGAAGGATATCTATGAATGGTCAAAATAAAAATTCAACATGCTGAATCCTCAGTATTTTGAAGAGAGCAGACAGAAAGCATCTGATAAGTATTTGCTGAACGAATGAATCTTTTCCCTTCCTACCTCAGCACTTTCCTATTCTCAAAACCACTACAAAAGAATTTCACTGTTGTCTTCAATTTTATTAGTGAAAGGACAATTTAGAAATAATTTCTGATAGCACAGGAAATATTCTAGAAGGATATATATGTATGTCAAACTGGTGTCTGTGGTTAATGCTGAGGAGCAGTTGGAGGTGGTGCGAGGGGGTTTATTTTTTACTTTATATATGACTGTATGGCTTAGTATTATTTCAAAAATTAAAATATAGTAACTGCCAATAACATCAACTATTATTATTTTTGTAGCACTTAATTCTGAGCAAGCAGTCACCATATATCAAGAACTGTTCAAAGTATTTTCATTACAAATTAATCCACAGCAAAACACTGAGTAGGTGATACCATTATCAAACTTACAACTCAAGAAACTGCTATACAATAGGTGTATATAATTAGCCCAAAGTAATACCTCTAACTAGAGACAGATTTTTGACTCAGGTCAGTGTCTGAACAAGCCAGATTCAAACCCCATCACACCCTTGGTAAGCCATATATCTTCACGGAGCCTCAGGCTCCTACTCTGTAAAATGGGAAAGTAATACAATCTATTTCATTGGATCACTGGGAAGCCCTTAGTACAATAAGAAACATTTAATAAATGGTAGCCATTGTTGCTATTGTTATTATTAACCAGCATGGAGCAAAGAGGACATTCAGGAAACAAGCCAAATATTACATGTCTTTCTAATTTTAGAACTGGTAAAATTGAAATACAAGATTTAAAACTCAGAAACAGTATCTGAAAGTAGACATTTAAGACATTAACCATGATTATGATCTTTTGAAATTTGGGGTTAATAACACCAACCTAACTCAAAATACTCTGAGGATGGTGTCTCAGGAAGGGCAGAACTACCTGGTTTGTTGTGTAAGGGTCAGAAAAGCTATTAGGCAACCTGAGCCGGCAGTGCTACGGGGTCACCATTAGAGCTGCTTGGACCAGGGAGGACCACGAAGTCCTCCCTTAGAGAACAGCAGGGGCAGGGGAGGTTTACATTTGTCGTCACTGGTTCTTTCTTTGATTCTGTCTTCACGTTGTTTAAAACCAAAACCTTAGTTTTGCATCTGTAAGATGAAGAAGTAGCACTTCTTTTAGTGAAGTGGTGTATGCAAAGGGGGAATGCAGTTTCTGCACACAGCAAGCATTCGACAGCTATCATTCACTGAAGTGTCCCGAGTATGGGGGAGACAGTCATAATTATTTGAAAATGTGGTCAGTACTACCAGGTCAGTGAACAAAGCAGGGAGGCGGGCTGGGAGGGGCAATGACAGAGGTGTAGAATATGAGATCCACCTAAACAGATATTCTAAACTAGCAGGCATTACCACCTCAGTTTCCAAAGATGAAAACTCTGAAGCATATTGTTCTATAAAGGAATGGTCCTTAAAAACGTAAGAAACCCGTGGCAGGCCAGGAACTTTCGATGAATAAACAGGAGTGTGAAAATGAAACACAAAATGTTAACCGAAGTAGTCTTCTGCTGTGGCAAATAAGGCTTTATTGGAAACATATGCACACAACTTGTAAGCACTGGATTTTAAACAGCATGACTAACCTAAAGTAATGTCATGCTGGCTTGTCATCTTTAGCTTCTTAAACACTAAGCACCAACCATTTAAAACAGTACAAAGAATAAAACTGTTTGGTTCATGTTTCAGTGCTCAAATAATTTAAACAGCCAATTAGAATAAAAAAAATTTTAATTTAACTAGTTATTTAATAAGGCCTATCTAAATTTATAAAAAACATGAACTACACAGTAGAAAAGTATGTGGCCTTTATTCATGCAATTATTTATAGAGCGCATTCTGTATTTTTCTTCATTACCAAATTGGTATATGCTTACTGCAGAAACAAAATTAAAAGAAAATCCAGAGCAAGAACACAAATCACTCAAAATCCCACCACTTAGAGAACAGAGAAAATTTCACTGTTAAGATAATTTTTGTGAGACATTCTCATCTGTCCTTTAAAAATTACACATATTGTTGTATTTATGAATAAAAATTGCTATTATTCTGTACACGTTATTCTGTAAAATTTTAAGAACATTTAACAATTCATTATGAACATCTTACCACTTTGAACAAAATCGACAATGTAACTTTATTAATGAAGTGATTTTTAATGGCTGCATGGTTTTCCTCCCTGGGATATAGTCATTACTATTTAATTTTAGTTATGTTTTTTTTGGAACTTGGACTAAAAGTCTAGTTTTCCTTTAGGACATAGCAGATGAAAATGACTTGCTAACATATCCAAGCACTTCAGTCCACATAACTGCCCAATACTGAATCCAGGTTGATGATGTCTGTAGGTAAACGGTGATTCTAGATAAGAGTTACCATTTGTTAGGTTTTATTAGGCTACTTAAAAAACATTTTTGGTTGGCAAAGTGGCTTTTTTTTAAAGCCTATATCTAGCTACAGTTAGTTTTGAATATGTGAGCTCCATATAAATGATTTATTTTTATATTTTTATCAAAAACCTTAGTGACATCTACATTTTTCTTTTCTTTTAAGATTTATTTATTTAGGCATACAAGAACTGTGGTGCAGGCCAGAGATGCGGTTTGAGAGGATTCACCTAAAGTACAGTGGGAGCAGAACAGGAGGGCTGACTGAAATACACCGCTGAGGGGATCAATGGGTGAGACAGGGGAGGTCCTGTTGTGCCGTGTGGGTTATATATGAATTATCAAATGGTTAACTATCAAGGGACCAGCCATGTGATCTTCTCATGGTCTCTCTCATTTATTTATTTATTTAAAGATTTATTTATGCATACAAGAACTGGGCCAGAGATGCAGGGGGTGAGAAGATTCAGAGATAGCGGAGAGCAGAACACATGGATTGACTGAAATATACTTTTGAAGGGAGCAGTGGGTTGGTCAGGAGACTCTGCTGCGCCATGTGGGTCACCTCCCTGGTTGGGGATCAATCTCATGCATGTGGGTCACCTCCCTGGTTAGGGATCAATCTCATGCTGCAGTAGCTGTGGATAGCTTCATAGTGCTATGCTTTAATCCACTGCACCACCAGGAAGGGTCCTCTCATTTATTTTTTTATTATTCCTTTTCATCCATTTTACTATCCAACCAAAATGACTGACTTGCTGATTGACATATGCTGCACTATCGTTCCCAAATTATAATTTTTTAAAAATCATACCAAAAATTTCATTACTTTCAGTAATTCAATTATGAGGGAGGTTGATGAGCATTATGGACCTCTGATAAGTATGATTTGGGCACTCACTAACCTTGAGCACCTAGTCTTAAAGGGGACATACATTCAGCTATGTCAGGAACTCTGGTCGCAAATAAGAACAGGATTTAACTCCATAGAATGATATGAATGAATAAATTACAACAGTAACAAGGCAAGAAAAACATATTTCATTCAGAATCACAAGAAGTGCTTTGATCACAGCCATTTCAAAGGATTTTCTACTTAAGCTTATTATCTGTTCTATCTCAATTTATATCATGAGACATACATTTAAATTGGCTCGAGATTTTAATCTAAATTAATCTGTTTTATAACACACTCAAGTATTTCATAGTAATCTTAGTGATGCAATGTAATGAAATTATAGATACTGCCAATTAAGTCTCTGTAAGTTAAACACAGGTTTAAAAGTTTCCCTTTTTATGCCATAGTGCACAATTCTAGTATAAGGAGTTTGAACGCCTAGTCACACTTATAATAAACAGTCACAGGCACACTACATCTTTCTGAAACATGTAATATGGAAGCAGGTTTCAACAGGACACCATTGTAAAGTGACTTTAGGTAGGGCTTTGTCCTTGGCAGCATCCCTGAAAAGACTCTGGATGTCAGTCTGACTATTAAAATCTTTAAAGCCTTGCAACTGTTTCATTTAGGGTGTTCTGGAGCCCTAATCCTCTTATTTAGAAGCAAAACAAGCAAACGAAAAACCTTCTTCAAACTTTTCTAATGGGAAAATTCTTTACTGGTTATTCAGTTTTCTCCCTCCCATATCAAGGTTGTATGATTAGTTCTGAAATATAGTAAAAATGATTGATTTACAGATACAATACAATACAAAAATAACAGCTTTCAACAGACATTTTTAGAGTTTTGGATTGCTCTACCTAGCCTAAGCAATAGACTCATATTCTCAGTTTCAGCAACAAAAACATGTACATTTATTCTGTTTAAAAATTAAAAATAAGGCGCTCCCTGGTAGCGCAGCAGGTTAAAGCACAGCACTAAGAAGCTAAAGCCACTTCCGCATGAGTTCGATTCCCGTCTGCCCCGGAGGTGACCACATGGCATGGCAGACCTCTGCTGACCCGCCCGCTGCTCCCCTCAACAGTGCACTTCGTCAGTCTGCCTGTCCTGCTCCCCGCTCTGTCTCTGGTGAAGCCTCTCGCCGCTCCTAAGCCTCTGGCCTGTACCCCAGTTCTGTATGCACAAATAAATAAATCTTAAAAATAAAAATAAAATAAAAATAAAAATAAGGACTGTGACTTATCAATAATAAAGATCTTTTTGTTTCTCCTTATAATGTATAAACTACAGTCTTCAAATTTGTTATCCAAATTTTGACAGGAAATATCTTCAAAGTGTTTGTTGACTCCTAACAAGGGAACCTGTCCAATTTGTTTCTTAGGAAAGGTGTTAGAAGTCTCAAATAGATCACATATAACAAAGATTTCTTACACTAAATGGTACCATGCTGACTAAGGGATTATGATTGTAGGAACAACAGTACTTGCCTGTACAAAAAGGAATAATGATAAAGTCATGAAGAAGGCAGGAAACTGCTGATGATAATGATCGCTAGAACAGGAATAT